CGTCTACGCTAACTTTTGACCCATTGTGTACAACCTAATTTAAATGATCCACTGTGCCGTTGACGTCCAGTTGTATGTCGCTTATGATCTCCTAAGTTATGATAATGTGTACTGAAATAATTTGTGGTACGTATCGAAGGTCTACAGTTCTAAGGCGTTTCAGTGTGGAGGTAAACATCACGAAGTATCAGTTTTATCAAAAGTCGGTCTTTGTTCATTTTGTTGGCAAAATTTTTTGAGACCGATAGTGGTCATTGATAGTCCTCCTGGCCCGCATTGATTTTAGCTGAGGAAAGAGAGCATCCACCAGCCTTCTCTGCTAAACCGATCGGCGACCACCATTGGAAACGCCTTTGAGGAACTTCTTTTCTAACAACTGGTTCATGATGAGCAAAATTCGAGTGGGAATGAAGGTTGAAATACACAGATATCACTCGAAAGCAGGATCAAAGTAGCCTTAATTTGGCCACTAGACCTTCATTGAAACGTTTGAGAGTGATTGTGTCACAAATGGTCACTAAGCTCTTCGCACCATATCTGAGTTTATACTACGATTAACATAACAGTAACAGTTGTTCCGCCCTACTTCAATGAAGATAGTTTGAATCTAAGTGACAAGCAAAATAATATGCATTGCCAAAAGCGCAATCCTTGATTAAATCCTAAACATCCAGTCTTACCAACTATATTGACAAAATTATCCCATTCATTTAGCCATAGGTTCCAGTATGAACATGTCCCATGGCATGAGTTTTGTACTTTGCGTTCTAAGTGTCGCGCTCTCTTTCACGAATTGTGATGCCTCGAAATTTCAGGAACAAGCAACAGAAGTACCACTTTCTTGTATTAATTGTGAAAAGAACAATCTTAATCCGCCAAGTAAAATGAACACTTGAAAACTTTTATGGAATCTGTTGTCTTCAGGCACAAAATCATTGCATGAATTTATAAATATTAATTTTTATTTAAAGTTATTCCGTTTAAAAGCATTCGGTATAGCATCTTCTGACCAATTGACACAAAGCACCTAAGCGATTGACATTTTGTTTTGAATGCATCAGTTTAAGTGGGATTCTTGTTTGGGCTTCGGCATGGAACAATGGAGTTGCATGAATCTATAACGTGCTCTTCTTACAACAAAGAGTTTCTATTGGGACTCTCCCACTGGAAGTGCTGCAACAAAATGCACAAAGGTAAATAAATACATGCTCCCATCGTCTGGGCATTTTTAAATCTCAGTGAAACACCTATTTGTTGCCCCACGAAGCAATAATTGAAATACGCAAACACATTATAATGAGGTCAAAATGGTAGCGATTTTGAACGGGAAATGCAGCTTAATTCGATTAAGCTGAAAGGGTACTCGGGTATTCGTCTTAGTAAATTCCACGAACTCTCCACATTTAGCAAGAATAAAAGGGCGAATATCGTCTAAAAAATAACATGAAGAATTGTAATTATGCTTGTAGAAAGTGGCACGATTTCTATTCCTTTGCAGAGAAAGGCATCAGACTTTGCCGGTTAACGGAAATGAACCAAAAAAGGGGGCGAACCAAACTAGCGGATGACCTGCTTGGGGGAGGGAGCGAACAGGTGGAATTTATGTCTTCTAGGAGGATAATCGGTCGGGTAAGGAAATAATCATGTTCAACATAATATTTGCCTGTAACAAGACATTCTCGTCACCATCTCCTATTCAATAAGAAGGCAAATATTTTTTACCTAGTTTTATTAATTTCACAGGAGTGTGTGCTTAACCCTGGTTATACAGTGTCGTTGTTTCACATCTACGATCCGGCGTCGGCACTTTTTAAATCCAAGGCTAACATTAGCCTCTATTCTAGCTGGGATGTTGATTTACAGTATCCAGAAAACATAAAAGGTCACGACGCTTGAGCAACTTTTCCAAATCAATGCACTTCGGAGCTTAAGGTGTGTTTTTAGGATTTGGAGGCCATTTCCCTTAGTAGCTCCCTTGGTGGTTTGGTGCCACAATGAATTTAAACAAAATGTGGGACATTGTAGTAATATACTAGGTTCTTAAGACAAGTAAAAAATAATTTTTCTTTAACTGAGATCATCACGATGAGTCATTGTTTAAATAAAATGATTTGACCAGATTGGGTAACTTAAGGCAGCCATAATATATTGCTTCGGATAGCCAAAAAATAAAAATGCATGGCATATGGAAAAGATAAACTTTGCAGCGGACTGCACGTTAGGGCTACACACGTGCAAACGTGATTGGGGCCAACGGGGTAATTCGCTGAAGAAGGAAGCGCTTGACCTCATTGACTTCATTACGGTCGCCCCTTGGAGGAGAAGTGGTGAGTGAAGTTGCTTCTGCCAAACCTGAAAGGAGCCACTCTCCCCGCCTTTCCTTCTACAGAACACCGCTTTATGAGTGTGCAACATCGAGTGCCAATCAGCCTTCCCCCTTTTTCTCGTTCGCCCTCTTCTTTCATTACACATTTGACCTCGTGGCTCACGAAATTCTCTTGATAATTTGGAGTAATTTAAAGTAGACTCGGTCACGAACCATTTCTCATTGTAAGAACGAATCCATAAGCACCATACGTAATTTGTATACTTCTCACCATTCGGGCATGGTGTAAATTGCTCTTTTAATTTGTGGCTTGCAATCTTGTTTCGACAAGCATTTAATGTTGCGTAACCATCGGCATTGGCTCCAATGTCTGCTTTTTAAAGCACTTAACACTTATGCAATGAACTTCAAATATACCTGATCATATCTGGCCAGTCTATTCTCTCTCATGCAAACTGAAATGATTTTGAGCAAGATGGTGTTTGTGATGATCAGAATAGGTTCATCTGAAGCTATGACTTTACTAATCTCGAGACCATAAAAACTAATCACGGAACAGTAGGGAATCATTACATATGCTTTAACACTGAAATCAACTCGTAATTATCACTAACATGCATTTTTTAATAACTTTCCGGCAAGTAACTTAAGGAAATACAAAGAAAACTCGTGACACTAAACTGCATCAATCTACTGTTCGAATTGGATGGTTGCTTAGGTACAAACGAATGCCCACTCTCGTGGAAACTCAAGTAGGCAACAAGCTCTGTTACCAGTGTTGCCTCAACACTGCCTCGGGAAGACACTGCTATCTGTCCCTAAAGTGCACCCGCTGTCCAGTTGCTGGCCCTCATTGTCCCATTTGAAGGAATCCCATACTGCCCTAGCAACTCAAATAAGTCTACTCATTGGGACGCGAACACTTGCTCCATTCAACTCAACGTTTTTAATTCAGGTTGTCCGCATACCTAATTATCATATCGAGAAAAGGGCTGCATTGGAATAGGTCCATCTTAATGGATAGGTTTCTAGGTGGATAGGGCGAGTTTAGCGCGATAACATGCCCTGACAAACGTTACCGCCAATGGTCAAAGTAAAGCTTTAAATATTATTTAAAATAAACTTATGGAAAGATCACCTCAAATTTGAGAACTCCTTTAAGAAACTTTTAAATTGGAAATCTCCATCGAGTTTGGATGCCATTTAAATTTATTCCTTTTTTTAGATCAGCCAAAATGCAAAGAGGACAGGGTCACAAGTAAGAGCTGCTAAAATTTCAGTGCTATGAAAACCACCGCTTTTACCACCTGTCATAAAGGCCGATCTATTGGAGCCTTTTAACTTCATTCACGCACAAAATGGTAGTATGTATTACAAACCAAAGCTCTCAACCGAAGTTTTTTTAGATTTTTAGTGGGTATTTTCTTAGTTTGCAATAAATGTAACAATTGTCGCACCTTTTATAGGCCAGGCATCAAACACCAAACTATAGGCACGACATCTAACTGGTTAAAAATCACACTCGTACCAACCAATCCTCTTTAAGTGCGCACCTTATCACCCAATCAATGTAAAAGCGATACCCGACATCCATTGGCTACCTCCTACAACATAATAATCAAAACGAGCGTACAGCTGACTAATTGACATTACGACACAGGAGGAAGGATAGAAGTAGGTCCCTTTTAACTTTCTTGCATAAGCAAAAATGCCGAACTAGAAATATTGTTATTCTGTGCGGTTTCAAAAGATTGCAATTTGCAAATTTTGACAGGACTAATTCCAGTTTCTTTCTAGTAGACTAAATGCGATTTTACGCTTATGTACCGTATTCGGTTATTAACATTCGCATCGTAGAATGGCTGACATACTCTCATATATTTAACACTGATTGCTAATATTCTTTCCTTAATTACTACTATTTTAGAAAGCACTAATTATGAATAGCAGTGGAGGTCAAGAAGAATTCGCTTTCATTATCAAAAAGCTCATAAAGGTAGCTGACGATTTGAATTTGCACATGGGAACGCAGGCTGAGTTTCGTTTAAGAGTGGTAAGCCCATCAATCCCTTTGTTCCTTATTTATAATATTCAAATATAAAATGCAGGGCAGGCGAGATTAGCCATCAAGAAGGTGAATTTACTTCTATTTCATTATAGACGATCCCTTTTGTTGGGACTGTATTCATACACAGTGTACTGAGCCACTCCTTAAGTGAACAAGGTCTAAGGTTATTTTAACTGCATTCCAACGAACCAAACAGAGCCTCCAAGTGCTTATGGAAGCAAAAGGACTGAGGATGAAAAAACCTAAAGAATGCTTACAAGAGATTGGTCAAATATTATTTATTTTAAGAATTCCAATGGTTTCGGGTTTTAACTTTCATGATATCGTACACAAAAAAAATTTTTTTTGGAGAGCCATTTCTACCTCTGCCAACCAAACATCTGTCCCTTATAATGCCAATAGGATATGGTGGATATGATTCCAAAGTGCAGGTAAGCAAGGCACACAAGAATACTTTCAAGGTAAAGAGTTAAATGGTGAATCATTGATGGAAGAGCATATTGTTCTTATGGCGTCGAAGGATGTTTAATACAAGTAAACATAATACCAACATCAATGGGTTAGATGCTTCGATTGTAATGTTATTGTAAATGTGAGCATTGTTAACTATATTTTGCCATGATGTTGCAGCAGCTTGATCAAAAGCGATTCATGGCTGGGTCGGAGGTTAATGGATCCCTTAAAGTCGAACCAACGCGCTGATTCGATCGCTGTATCTTCTATAAAAAGCTATAAAAGAAAAAAACCGTTGTAGAACAGCCATACAACATTATGTGCCTACATAATTATCCTGATATGGGTTTTATTTAGCGTAAAATTATTTCAGTGACTACAGCATTCTTAGGACCCTACAGGCGTTTAAGACTTTAAGATATTACATACGATCTGCTTTAAAAGGAAATCATAACAATCGAACCTTTGTTGCGTCTTTGTGAAAGGGAGCGTGATCTTTGCAATGGAAGTTAACGCACACCGCTTCAATCCAAGCGTGATCCGCATTCAAATGGTCATCCAAGAAGTCGTCACTAATCTAAGTCGGGAAAGTAAAGAGTCGCGAAGCTAGAGTGGAACCTGGATAATTATACCAAGAGGACAGACAAAAGCAAAACATGCCAGAGTCATTTCCATTTCATCAATCGAAGTGATCAGCATAGCTTTGACTGTATCAAGTTCAGGACCAGCATTGCTAAAAAGAGTATTGGTTCTACGAAGCAGAAAGTCGCGCATAACTTTAGCAGAACAGCTACGAAAGTCGCACGATTCTCGGTGGTCTACAAAAAACTAACAAGAAAAATTCTTTATAAAGCCTGCTGGACCGATCAGCAGTGAGTAGTGAAGCTAAAGTCGTCACATGCCCAAGGGAGGCAGGAACATTGATGTCTGTCAAGAACTGCCACCTGAAAGTCGTTTGGAGCTCGTCCTGCTCGAGTAAAAGCGAGCACGATGACATGGTTGGGTCCCCAATGTGGCAGCATGCCCTTTCCACCCAGGCCCGAACGACCTCGTGGATTGAGAGGGAGACCGTGAGGTTCTAAAAGCCCACGTGACACACGCACCCGGCCCTTCAGACAGCAGCGCGACACACCCTGAAGTGCATCGTAGGTGTTGTAATCCAATTTTGTTGGATCACTGTCCTTGGATGGAAAATATCGCAATTTAATAGATTCCAAAGGCTACATTTTCATGAGCGTGATAGGGTAATATGGTATAAAGCTGAACTACCACTCATATCTGTTGGCAACATTCATTATTTATATGAAAAATAGGACTAAAAGTGAAATAAGCGTGCATAATAACGATCAGTAAGACCCGTATTCGTTTTAGCCGGAGCACAAATGGATGGTTCTGGTCACAGAAGCTAGAAACTTGAGAATTACACTTGAGGGCCGTCCTCAATCCCGGGATATGGATAGGCTATTCTTTCTGTATTCGCGATGAAAGGTCTGTACTCTGGATAAGGAATCTAAAAAAAAGAAAAAAAATTTTACACTAAAGTTGATCACATTCCAATCAAACTAATGGCGATTTCACATATTAGCTTATTACGAGCATTATAATAGCAAAGTGGGGGAGTGAAAGTGTAAAGTGATTTGAGAAATTTTGCGGTTACGCTTAATGAACGAAGAGAATCGTAGGGACTAACTTTCCAGTCCACTGCGCCGTCGGGGATGTTCACTCGCATGCCAGGGCGCCGCTCGAAGTTGAAAGGGATGAGGCGCCAGAGGCGGTGACTGGCGATGACACGTTCGTAAATGTTTGCCCTCGGCGGCATCATTCCAGGCCGTCGAGACGGTGGACCGGTTTGTGATGATGGTATTGCCACCCTGTCAATTGGTATTTCTGAGGGGTCGGCATTGGTCAGCACAGCCTTCACACAAAGGCTCTCAATGCGCAGTCTGTTAAACATAAACACACTGTTAGCCATATAAATATGAAAGGTGTAAAGTGCAGAATATCCGAAACGGATCTGTTAATTGATGGAAAAGAGTGTACATAAAAAACTTTCCTTTGCAAAGCCATTTTCTTTTTAAAAACGATTCTATTTGGTAGCTTTTGTTCTGTTGCATAGGGAACAGGCGACATAACTTAAGTGAAATCAAAAGAACAATGCCACAACGCCTAACCCTCCTAACGGATTGCACAATGGATAAGTGTTCTAAACCTTACCAGCACCAGAAACAAAGTGCAACCAACAACCTGGTTTGCCAAGCTAATAACCTGCGGTACTATATCCATGCCGCTGGACCTTTCGAGGACTCCAGTCAGACGTGTGGTAGCTTGATTTTGGAGTAGGCGATTACAAGCATGCCTAACGAGTGTACACCCAAGCTCACCGAAGGAAGTGTCCTTCTCGGAGTTTTGTATTAGTGACTTCAGTTGCGGGCACTTACAATAACTGTTGCCAAGCAGTTATCAACAGAGTTGGAGTATTCCTCGCCTGGACATGGATATTAGCCACCAGTTGGAACCGAGTTGTAAAGCTGCAGGCATCTCTATTCTTATTACCACTTACCAATTGAATGCTAAAAGAAAGCCTTTTGTGAGTCGTAAAATTACGGCATTCAAATAGATTATGAAGTGAACTGTATTCCGAACACAAAGCACATACTTAATTGCAAACAAATTAATGCAGGGCAGTGCAGTGAATTTTGCAAATTACTATGAAATTTCACATTCTTTGGGAAATGCGTGTTGCTTTGCTAAATACGGTCTAGTTGCATTGTCAAGAGCACTTCCTTTGCCAGATTTATAACTTAAAAGATTACCCAGAGAGTCCCAAAACAGCGTACGAACGAATTTCATGCACCGCAAACTGGAAATGCAACACGTTTTAGCAACAACGATTTCTAAGTTGCGTCACATAGAAACGTTTAAGAATTATGTGGTTACCGTTGCGAATGTTAGCAACCCCTCGTGGCGGAGGTGTGAAAGTACGCAAACAAACTTCAATAAAATAAAGGCTCCAAAAAATGCCCTGTTCAGTACGTTTTTTTAGTGAATAATTTTGAACGCTTTTCATGAACCCCTTGCCACCGATGGCAGTTAAATCAAAACAGTGGAAATAATGAGACTAAGAGAAAACAAATTATACTTAAGTGTATGTGATGGTTAACTTACTTTTCCTTTAACTTCTCCTCAATATCCTGACAGTGAGTAAAAAGGCCTTCGACTGCTTCTTTTATTGCACTGCTGATGCCATTGGAAGTGGATTGCTGCCTTGGACTGCTGCTCTTCCGAGAACCGACCAACCGTCCCCCTCTTGAGTCATCGAGAAAGCTAATGGTCTGGAGGTATAAAGTGAGACAAAACATGTTATGCAAGCTGGTACAGACTGGCTTTTTTGATGAGACATGCTGCAGTGCGTCTAGTAGCAAAAGCTGAAAATTGTCGCATCATGTTGGCATAAGTTGGAATGCTAATTGGAATATGTATTTCAGTTGGCTTCGGAGAAATTGACAGCTCAGAAAAAGTTGTTGTTGTGTTTGTGTGATTCTTGCAGCTTTCCACACATTGGCTGTAAACTCAACCATTCTAACATAACATAGAAGTAAGTTTTGTCTAGAAGAATGAGACAACACCTCAGATAGTGAAGGAGTTGGGCACAAGTTAAATCGGCATGATGAAATAAACCCGTCATTAACACGAAACCAGGGCAACGTTTTGATTTGCTAACAAAATTTCGATATTTTTCTAGAGCGAGCGAGTACTTTTGGTTAATGCAAACAAAAATTAATGTAAACTCAACATTTACCTGATTTTGACTTCTCTGAAGCTTTTTCAAACTCACAGTGATGCGTTTCATCATACCAACAATGCGATCCAAGCGGTCCTCAAAGTTAGAGATTTTCTCGATCTGTGAGCTAAGCGTGTAGAACTTCTCTTCAACAAAGTCGGATTCGGGGCCGAAGATAGAAGGCACATCCTCGAGGAGACGGTCCCCAAGCAATGCACTGGTACGCTTCTCTCCAGCAACCACCGGAGTGACGCCCACACCGCTCCTAGTACTAATACCTCCGGCGACGCCCTTTGAACCACGCGTTGTGATAATGGTTGACCGCGATGCCTCGCTCCGTCGTGACACCGGCAGCTCGGAATCCATTTGCGAGCGCAGCACATTCTGCGCCTTTAGGAACTCCCACTTCATTAGTTTTGATTCCAGCGAATAGTTCCCACTGAAATTCCTACCTAAAGCATTGAAGAGATAATGCGGCTTGACTAAATAACCTAAAATGGGAGGAGTCATAATAAAAAACAAAAGAATTTTACTCGCTCAACAGTTCGATCAAGCAAATAATGCCAAGTAAATCTAATTCTGCCATTTGTATTAGAAAACACTTATCATTCCATCAAGAAACTACGTTAGATTGCACCTTTTAGAGCTTTATCAGAATAATTTTTAGCTGTACAATGCGTTTTAGGATGTGATTTGGATGCGATTGCATACTCCCTTACAGAAAGGATCGTCGGCAATCTCTGGCTCAAAGTCGTCCAGCCCCGAGCAGAGACCCAGAAGGCGTTGGATGGCTGCATATACGATTTCTCCAGCGTACCAGAGTAGTGTGAAAGGTGGTGCAACAGAGGGGCGGTCCACGCATTCCTGAATCATCTCATAGCGCTGGTAACTCCAGAAGTATGTTGAAGATCCCTCTATTTCGAAATAGGTAGATCTAAAAGACCCAC